AGCTGTGTCCCTGTAGTATGCTCTTTTTAGGTCTTTTGGGTATAGTCCTAGAAGGGGAATAGCTGAGTCAAATGGTGGTTCCATTCCCAGCTTCCCAAGGAATCTCCATACTGCTTTCCAAATTGGCTGCACCAATTTGCAGTCCCACCAGCAATGTATGAGTGTACCTTTTTGCCTGCATCCTCACCAGCACTTATTGTTGTTTGACTTCATAATGGCTGCCATTCTTATTGGAGTGAAATGGTATCTTAGTTTTAATTTGCATTTCAGTAGCAATTAAATTTCAATCTGAGTTTCAGAGAGAGAATTCAAAACGCAGTAACCTCTCACCAAGTTCCCAGACTCAAGCTAATTAATAGACCCAGAATGCTTTGTTTAAAGAGTCAGATATTTTTGAGGAAGGACCCTGAAGTGCTGTCAGAGTACATACATTAAGTTTTCTTCTAAGCCTTCCCCAGATAGACACGATATACAGCTAAATTTGAAAATGCCCTGTGATACGGGATATATTCAGACATTCCTAGAGGTATTAAATAATGGTTCTGGGTCTCTGTTAAGTTCTGTGGTGTTAAAACACCTCAGTGTGTGTTAGTGTGTGTTAGTTCCCTTTTGAATTGAAGCAAATTACCACAAACTGAGTGGCTTAAAATAACACAATTTTAGTATATTATATTTATGGAGGTCAGAAGTATTAAACATGTTCAACAGGAGGCATCAGTGGGCACCATTCCTTCTGCAGGGTCTAAAAGAGACCACTTCCTCACTTTTCCCAGTTCCTAGAGACTCCCTGCCTGCCTTGGCTCCTTTGTTCCATGAATTACGAAAAGATACTAAGGCAGGAAATGCCGAGTGGATGGCCTGGTAAGGTACCTCCACATCAATACGGAAAGCTAAAGTGGTGCTGCTTTCCTAAGAGCAGAGATTAGGGCCACTCTCCGAAAACTGAAATAGGCAGTTAATTGGATTCCTATCAATTAACTTGCTGTTCAAATTGTGCAAAAGTAAGATGGATTATGGAAAATGATGATGTTTCAGTCTCAGCTGCCACTCAGATGTGGTAACTTTATTGTGGATCAAAAAATATGATTCTAGCCTTTGGAACAATAACCTGCACACTTCTTTCCTTGAATGTAAAAAACAAAACGTATGGACAGCAGTGTCTTCTCACCATTTTTTTTTTTCAGGGCTACACAACTCTTTTACTCTCTGTCATAAAATAGTTTCCCAGGACTTTGATCACCTTGATATCCCACATATCATCACATTGGTTCATTGTGCTGGTAATACTATACTAAATGTAGCTGGTGAACATGTTTCTTACATGATTTAGTAAGACAAAGGCACTCAATAGAGGACAAAGCTTATGAAAATGTAGCAAAATTTCAAAGGATTCCATGGTCTACAACATGTTAGGCCACCTTTTCTAACATGAAAGATGTCACTAAATCATTTACATTCATCCATCATAAGGAAGAGCAAGATTTGCCAAAACTCTGAATTTGATAGACAGTATATATTAACATTGGGTTCACTCTTCCAACCACTGCTCAATAATCTGTAAGGTAGTCTGTTTTGAGTGGAACCTGGAGTGAAAGAGGGCTCTACAGCTCTAAACTCTAGTGCAAGTTGTCCCGCTACTTAAAAATTATGACTTAGCAACACAATGTTATTAGGAGTAGCAGTGGAAGCCAGGGATGCTGATACACTCGGACAAGCCCCAACAGGAGAGTCACAGATCAAGGATCTTAGAGCAAAGCCATACCCTCTTTGCCAATTTATTAATTATCTACAATTATAATAAATTATACCAAAACTTTGGAGGCTGTCTTGAAAGTGAGCTACAATAGCCAACCACTATTCACTATTTCATTTGCAGCCTGTCTTGTGCTACCTGGCTCTGTAGAGCTTGAAGGCATGATCACAAAACACCAGGTGCATTAGTGTGAGAGGGCTGCCATAACAAATTACTACAAAATGGGTAACTTCAATACAGAAACATATGTCTCACAGAACTGAAGGCTAGAAGTTTGAAATCAGGGTGTCCACAGAATTAGGTCTTCCTGAGGTCTGTGGACAGAAAGTTCTACTACAAGCCTTTCTCCTTGACCTGTAGATGGCCATCTTTTCCTTGTTCCTTTTTACATCATATTCCTTCTATGGGTACCTCTCTATGTTCCTAAGTGTTCCCTTTTTGTAAGAATACCAGTCACATGGTGATAATGAATTCATTTTAACTTGATTACCTCTGTAAAGAGCCCATCTCCAAATAAGATTGCATTCTGAAGTCCTAGGAGTTAAGGGTCCAATATATCACTGGAGTGATGGGGGAGGGGAGTAGAGAGAAGCACATAACATCAACATCAAGTAACTACATAGTCTAGCTACCTGAAATGAACAGAACTTGACCCACCAAAAAAATAAATAAAGTTGGGCATGTGCAGAAAATTTTAATTTTTTGGTGAAAAGGGTACCTGGTGGGAGATGAGTCTACCAGGTCCATAGGACATGAGAAAATCATTGGCACAGAGACTCCATAGTGCCTTCGATTATTGTGCTAGTGTCTCTCCCTTGATACACTCTATAGCCCCTTGGAGCATTCCCTGTAATGGGCAACCAGGGAGGTAGAAGAATCAGCCTTTGCAAAGAAATCTGGCACTAATCATTAGTGGATGGCTTGTACACCAAAGCCACTCTCAGGGATGTCTGAAGTCCAATGGAAAGGAAACCTTACTAATGGACAAAAATCTGCTTTTGTTTTGCATGGAAAAAGAGATGGCGTGATACAATATCCACAATGACTCATAAGTAGTGGCTAATGTGTCGGCCAGCTGGTTTCTTAAGGACTTAGGATAAACAATGTTGAGAGACTGGTGACATGAAAAAGAGAAGTATGTGATAGTCTCTTGAAATGGGCATAAAAAGTGAAGATATTTGTGTCCTATGGAATGTCCCCAGAGAACAGGATGTCAACCAACCTCCCCTGAGCTGTCCCAAGGCTTGCTAAATGTTCAGTGCTATGGTGCAGGCATGCAGATTAAGCACAGGCTCTTGATGCACCTTCCTCAGCCACTGGAAGAGAGAGGCAGAAATGGATCAAAGATATTTGTGAAACAAAATTGAAAGGAATTTGTTGCTCTCTTAATCCATTTTGGGTAGCTATAACAGCATAGCACAGACTAGGTGGTTTATAAAGTGATTGCTTATAATTCTGGAAACTGAGAAGTCCAAGGTCAGAAGACTACATGTGACAAAGGTCTTCTAGCTGTGGCATCCCACTGTGGAGGTGGAAGGGCAAGAGAGCAAACAAGCAGGAGGGGACTAAACTGACTTTTATTACAAGTCCACTCTCCTATTACTCAACCCACTCCCAGAATAATGACATTAATATCTTATTGGCCCCCACTTCCTAACGTTGTTGCCCTAGAGATTTAAGTTTCCAACACATTAATTTGGGGAGCCATATTTAAACTATAGCAGTGACCAAACAAGTGAATGTAGCAGGAGACTGAAGAAAAACGAAGATGTTTGAAGTGTTTAATTTTTGTGAATTCTGAATGGAGATGCTTTTAATGAAGACAGAGGTTATCAAAGAAGGGTGGAATGAGGCTGATGAAGAAGACAGAGTTCAGTGTGAGCTCCTGGAGTTGGGAGTGAGTATATTTATGAATCATAATCAGCTAGTTGGCAAGGGGGAAAAATGCCTGAGTTCAGATGCAAAATCTGGTTCGGAAAAAAGGAATGGAATCTTGAACTTCTTCATAATCATGTGTTCATGACCCACAGGACTTTGCACTTTCAGTCTTTTATCTCTAACATCCAACAGACAGCTTTTGCTTTTCTGCAGTGAACAAGCTGGAGAGGCTTAGAGGAGAAAGGAGTTCTTATTCTCATGAGAGAAAGAAAAATAGAAAAAAAAAAGGCAAAACTTGTGTATTTTATACTGAGAGAGTTTAGAGCACTGATATTATCTGTCTTGTCTACTTTATCTCCACCACCTAGAAGAGATTTTGTCAGGTTGTGACCACTCCAATATTAGTGGCTAAGTGGAATAAATGGGAAAATGTGAGAATCAATAGATAAATGAATGAATGAATGAATGAATGAACGAAAAACCTCCAGGGCACAAGGTGGAAGCAGGGTAGGAAGAAACAGGTGACCTTTTCTCTGCTCCAAAACTTCTTTACAAGACTTAATGATGAGAGGTTGTATAGATTCGTGGTTAAGAACCTGAACTCTTAATTGAGATTCCATATCTTCCTAGCTGAATAACTTGGCCAAATTATTTAGCCTCTCTGTACTTAACTCCCTCCCCTGTAAAATGCTTGGTAAACACTTAGCGTAGTTCTTGGAGAAAAAGTAAGTTCCACATAAGTGGTAGTATTACTTTTGCCATCTTGATAAAAAGGTAAGCCTACAAGACAAGAGGAAATTTCCTGAGGAGGTTAATTAAATACAGATATGGAGTCTCTACCTGGTATTCAAAAGTCAACAGTTACCTCCTCTCCCTCTTTACCTTCCAGATTGCATTAAACACCACTATTTTTCGGTGCCCGGCTCCTTAGCAAGAAAACCTGCAGATCTGAGACCCTTTAGCTGGGCAAAGGACAGAGGCCTGGGTTTTCCTTTCAGCTACTAGCAGTGAGCTGTGAAGGTTTGCCAAGCCCCATGTCCTCTCTGGGCCTCAGTTTCCTCCTCTGTCCAGGCCAGGCGGGGCTGCAGGAACTGATCGTCAAAGTTCTTTTGGGCTAAGATGTTCCGCTGTGCTCCATGTCGCCAGTCTCGCGTTCCCCCGGCGGCTCCGGCTCACCGCGTCCGCAGCGCTCACCCTCACCACTTGAGCTGCCGCCCAGCGCCCCGCACTGCCCGGGAGGTGCCTCGCGGGCGCCCCCGGCCGGAATGGCAGGGTCCCACGTCCGCGCGCCTTCTCCCGCGCCCTCCGCCCCGCAGCCTGCCCGTCGCGCCTTTATACTGAGCGGGCTGGAAGCTCACTAATGTTTAACTCGGGGCCGAAACTTGGCGAGCGCAGGGTGAATCCGCGGCCCAGAGCAGGGGAGCAGGACGTGGGTCTGAGCAGCTCGCGGTGACTTCTGCCTGCGCTCCTGCTCCGAAAGCTCAGTTCCGAGCAGACGGCGACCATGAAGGTGAGTGATTAGCACGTCTCCCACCTACTCAGCCCCAGGGTCGAGTCGTAGGTGCTTCTTAGCCAGACTCTCCCCAAACTGCCCAGAGGTTCGCGGAAGAGGACCCGGGACTACCATTAGGCAGAAATCCCAGGACCGCTCTAACAGGTGAAGGGAGGTCCCAGAGCTCTGGCTTTGCTCTCCGATCTGCAGGTTTTCTTGCTAAGGAGCCAGGCACCGAGCCCTGGAAGTCCCAGAGAGCCACCCCAAAAAAATGCACGCTGAAACCCTCACTTGGCTTCAGACCAACAGGGAAGAGAAACCCGCACTAAAGTGTGCAGAATCCAAACATTCAAGGGCGCCCGCCTTACCGAACTCCAAACCCTTCCAGCTCACTGTCTCCCTCTTCTAACTCACCCACCTGTAAACCCCGCCGCCGCTTAGGCAGCTCGGGCCCCGATCCTCCTACCCAGTCTGGGGCCAAACGCTTCCCTCTAATTGGACGTGATCTGACCGACTTGCAGACACCATGGAAGGTTCTCCTGGGACTGCTGGGTGCAGCTGCGCTTGTCACCATCATCACCGTGCCCGTGGTTCTGCTGAACAAAGGCAGTAAGTTTGAAACTTTTGAAAAAGATAAGACAGTTGGAGACCTGGATCAGGTTTCCCGGGGGGCTCAGACAGTGTGCCAGGGCGTCGCTAAGAAGGCTTCCGGGGTTGTAGCTGCATCTAATCTAGCGACAAGATTCACTTCAAAGGGTCTCCAGAGTTTCGGCTGGCTGTGAACCTTGCAGCTGCCACGTTTTGTTAGTTTTAACAAACGCATACTTCCTGAAATTAGGAGAAAGGCAGGATTTCTTTTTATTAAATTTAAAAATCTTAAATTTAATTTTTCAAAAGGTTTATGATTATGATCTTCTAAGAAAACAAAGTAGTGTTTAAAGATCCCAAATGTTGCAACTAGATGTCTTAAGGGGTGGAAAATTTAAAAATGAAGCCAAAGACAATGCACAGGGAACCCATTTTTGTTGTTGTTGTTGTTGTTTTATTTTTCTCCTTCAGGAATGATGAAAATTTCATCAATTTGAGAATCCGAATGTGACTATTTCACCAATTTAGGAATCTTGAAGAGCTAAATTATAAAGCTGGTGTGCATGACAATCTTCAGAGGGATCTGGTATCAGTGATGTTTTAGTGTACTATTCCCTTTAAAGTCACCTGTTTGTCTTTTTAGCTTGCCTCAGTGTTCCAGTTTAGGCCTAGATTTTGATACAAAACATTCAAATAATGAAATACACACGCTTGAATACAATCACATGATATTAACTAGCTTGGGTTTCCTCTGGCCCTTCTTTTTCTTTTAAACGCTTACTTTCATTTTAGCATTATACATTTACTAAATTAGTCAGTCAACTGAAACATTCTTTCTGGATGGTTGAGTCAATGAGGAAATGTAGTCAGTGCTTGCATACAAGGGGTCTCCATCCAGATTTCAAGGTAACAATTTAGAATTACTTTGTAAAACTATGAAAAATATGCTGCCCTGCAATTGAAGCAAAGGTGCCAGAAATTAAATAATAATAAATTGACCTATTGCTAATGACATTTACTTAAAGAAAGTAGTGTTTAAATTAAAGTGGTTACTTTAGACTACAGAGGGACAGACTTCAGTCCACTTATGTTTGATTGTTTCTGTTGCATTATTAAGTTGTAATTATTTTCATGAAATGACACTTTTGTATATTTAAACAACAACTCATGCAAAGCCTTGTGGGAAAAGGATAGCTCATTCATATCAATAAATATTTATAGGACTTACACATTATGTTCCAAGACTGTGCTAGTTGCTGCAAATTTAACAATCACATTTTATAGACTACTAGAAATATACAAATGACTTGTGTGTGTGTGTGTGTGTGTGTGTTTTGTGTGTGTGTCTAGCCTGTTTGTCTCCAAAACATCATGAAGGCATTAAAGCATCACTGGAAAGATGGATAAAACTGTAATTATTGGAACCTCCCTTAAGTGAAATTAGAGGGAATGTTGTACTTTGATAAGCCACTTGAGATGGGGAGTGAATTTGCCGAGGGCCCTTCATCATGCAGCTGCCTTCCATGGGCTTCTTTGAGTTAACTACCAAGATTTTCTTTCATTGAGTAGTGTATACAGACCTGGGAGGAGCTGTCTCACCCTAAACAGCACCTAGTCTCTCCTCCAAATAAAATTACAAGGATGTTTTCTTGAAGAGGACTTCTAGAGAGACTCAGGTCTCCACCTAACTACTCTAATTTAGGGTTCAAATTATAGAATGCTTGAACAAATTGATCAAGATTTCCCAGGAGATTGGGCACTCTCCTGGGAAAGCCAGGGAAGACTTCTCACAAGAGGTTTCTTTTGTGGGGAAACTTTAATAGTTAGAAAATGTGAATGACTGTGTGACAACACAGAGACAAAAAATCATATCCTCAATTCTTGGATCCTAAAAGGATCCACAGCCAAAGAGGAGGGTAGATAGCAGGAAACGGAGTTGGATTTTAACCTGTAGATGATGCAGAACTGCTGGAGAATTTTGAGCATGACTGGACTGTTAGGCATGACATTTGGAAAGTGGGTTGAAATAGAGCAAGACTAGAAGGAAAAACAAGGGAAATGGCATAGGACTCTTAGGGTATAGATTGCAGTACTGATTCTATATAGCTATTCAGAAATGTGAAGGACTAGACTTATGTAATTGATTAAAGATAAAGAGGTAAGGGGGAGAGTAGATAAGGACCTCTCTTAAGGAGGAGATGTGGTTTCATGGCGGTTTATATAAACTTCCCATTTTGCTTTCTTGTGTTTCTTAATTTCCGTCTATATATGTTTAGATACAAAACGGAAGTCATTTGTTTCAACTCCTGCCTTATCAGAAGGGACAGAGACAAAAGCTCAGGAGTGCAGCATTTTCACTTAATCAGCAATACCTTTCCTGGGCGGTGCCATAATAAGAGATTCTTATAGAGAATCCATAACCAACCATCAAGAGATGCTTCTCATATTATCTATCAAGTTTTAAGCAGGAAAGGGAGAAAGAAAGAGACTGGGGATCTATAAAAGGAAGGAGAAGGGGAATGTAAGGAAGAGAGAGAGAGAAGGAGGTTTAATAGAAAAAAAAGACCTAGATGATGTGAAAACAAAGAATGAAATTGCTAAAAGGAAGGAGAAAGATGCAACCCCACGCTCTTCCTCTGAGAGGTTAATTTAAGAGAAGGTCAAGTGTTTCCATAGGAAATGCTGAGTTTAGTTAGCAGAACTAACACACCGGAACAGGAGGGAAATGTGGACAGCAGTTGAGGAGAGGCAAAAACTACTGGTATTTTTTTTTTTTTAGAATAAAAATGTCTTGAGGTTAGAGGTTAGAATAACAACTGCTTGCATTTCTCCAACATATGTACATGTGTATTACTAAAAGCATATACATATATATATAATCATCTCCATTTGTATATTTACACATATATACATATATATATATATATAACTTTTAGTTACATGTATATAAAACTTTTAGTTTTATATATATATAACTTTATATATAATCATAATTTTGTTTTAAATTTTTCACTTATTATAGATGAAGATTGCCTATTTGAACATTCAGGTTCCCTGAGAATTAGCAATAAAACAATTGTATGGAATTATAGAAATCCTAATAGCCTAATGATAAACTCCCCCTCACTCAGTATTTGTGATTCCTTTACTTCCCTTTTTTGCATTACATGCTGAGATTTGAAATACTTGGTTGCCAGATAGTTTTATTATGGAGTTGTATTATGGAGTTGGGAAGTATCGCTATTCTTCTTTTGTTCTTTTGTCTGCTTTAGTAGTAAATTTCCTCAATACCTTCTTTCAGTTCATAAGAAATTTGCCTGCTTACCCACCCACCAGTAATAAAAGAAAACCCAAATGTGAGGAGACAGGAATAATCAGAGAGAGAAAAGATAACATCTATGAAGTTTGCCTGAGAAAGTCCAGGATCGATTCCCAGTTGAAAAGCACAGAAATAAGTCTGAATGAAAGCTTTGTACATGTGGAGGACAGCTTCTAAACAGCGTGGTCTGTGAAAGCTCTAGTTGATTCCGGGGAGCTGCTCAGTTAACTATTGTCAACTTTTGTGAGCGTTCCTGCAGACAGGCCAATGATTTCGGCTTTTGGTTCCCTAGCCATAGTATGCGCCTCAACTTTCTGTGTCTTAGAAATCTTTGCCTGTCTTCTCAAAAGGGTCCAGAGAGGCAGAAAGGGAAGATTGTTTGCCCAGTTAATGGTCAGAGAAAGAGCATAAAGGGACTTCCTAGAGCTGGCTCAGTGTCCTTCTACTTTTATGACTTAAGAAAGTGCTGAGGCCCAGGGGGGAGGTGCCTATAAATAACCTGTAGGAGCAGCTTCTTGGTGGAGGGGAAGGAATGTGAGGACTTGATAGTATTCAACAGGTTTTCACTGTGTGCCAGATATCGATTGGGCTGAGGGGCTTCAATATATTCCCCCATGTAATCCTTAAAATAACTCTTGGAGAGAGGTGCTATTATCATCTCCATTTGTACAGAAGGTTTGTAGAAACTTTGAGAGGATCAATCACTGCATAACAAATTACTCCAAAGCTTAAAACAATATTGTCTCATATTTTGTGTGGGTCAGGAATTTGGGAGTGGCTTAGCTTGGTGTCCTGGCTCAGGATCTCTCCTGAGGTTGCCATCTAGCTCAGCTTCCTGTTAACTGAAAGCACAGCTGGAGCTGGAGGACCGTGTCCAAGCTCACTCACAGGATGCCTAGCTAGAGTTCCCACCCACCCACAGCAAGGGCCTCAGATAACAAGGGAGCTTCCTTCCCTTGGAATGAAGGAGCCAAGAGAGGATCTAAGCAGAAGGCCCCAGTGTCTTTTATGACTCATCCTCAGAAGTGGGAGCTGTAGCATCCCTTCTGCTGTGATCCCATGGACCAACTCTACATCACATCAATGCCAGGGGCACTACACAAGGGTGGATATCCTTGAACCGTTTTTGGAGAACAGCTGCTAAAGAAGTTAAGGAACTTGCTCCATATTCCACAGAGTTAAGATTCACACTTGGACATTTTGACTCTAGAGCTGATACCTGATACTGATAAACTTCACATCATTTTGTTAGCTTGTGATCAAATATAAGCTTCAAATATATGATCAACTTGGTCCTATTAGCGTAATTGTTTCAACTTCTCCTTTACAGTTATATGATAATTTCGTGATTGCTAATCCTTAAACTTTAAGTGTTTTGAAGAGAAGAGTCTAGCACTAGTGCTTATATTCCTATATAAAACTGTATACAGGCAACAAATTTCAGCCTAAGAATGACATTGCATGCTTTTTCGTTTTCATTTTCTTATTATTTACTTATTAATTTATATTTTAGTAGTGCTAGGGAGTGAACCCAGAGTCTCACGCATACTCTAACCCTCTGTCTACACCACCAACCCCCAACATTCCATACTTTCAGTAAACTTATTAAGTAGTATCCATATTTGCTTTCATTGTATTAAATTACACTTTTCTTTCTGATGCAAAATATTTTATTTCATTCGGTCTTCCCAGAACATACACT